AGGCAGTGTTAGCTACTTATCTCAAGGTTATAATTACATGGGATTATACTATATGCCAGTAATTAAATAATACCTCTTATATTCACTTAAAATCATAGAACCATGAAAAAGCTTGACCACAGAATTACCTTGTCCTCAAGTAGCTGGAATATTATACTCTGGATTGTATTGTGCCATCCTGAAGTTGATATAAAATGTAACCAGAAATTTATCCAAAGCAATCTAATCCCTTGGCTCCCAACAAATACTACATTTCAAACAAATTTTTACAATTTACATATTACATAAATTTACATATTTTGTACATATGTATTACAAGTGATTACACTGTACATGTGATTTGAGGTTTAAGCCTATCTAATATCCATGGAAGCCCAAACATTGCAATGAATAGATTCACAAATTACATTAATCCATTAATTGTGAACCAAGAAATGTCTTTTTTCATACAACACACTAAACCATAAAAAATGGTTTATAGGTTAAACAATGGCACACTAACTACAGACAATAGGTGTGAATCCAACTACGTGTCCATGATTATATATACACAATGTGTGTACATACACAATACACTATTTTCCCAGAGTAATTGTTTGTGACAAGCATGTAAGACTGAAAAGTTCGCATTCAAATTCCACATCAGCCACTCATTCATAAAGTAAGTTGGCATACACTCCCTGCTACCTGATTTGTAATATTCAGATTGGACAAATCTAATTTGCTGTTGGGATAGGTAGGTATGCTGAAAGAACATATAAACTGTGTTTAGATCTACTGATTAAAAGCTTTAATTTAACCAAACAAAACAACTACATTTGATGAGTAATAACCGAGTAGGCCAATCATTATTTCCATGAACAGGCAGCCAAAGAATCTCAAACAGGTCTCTATCGGATGGATCTGGAAAACGCATTCAGAAGGAGAGTCTAATATTTTCATTTGAAAGAATTTTTAAATTCTTACACCCAAGAGATTTAGGTTGAAAATTATGTACAGTAGCTCATATATTAGCTACATCTGCATCAGGTTGTAATATTAATTGCTTTCACACAAACAAGCAGAGTCCTTATATAAAATTCATCTGCTGAAATCAAAACTCTTCCCATTTTAGGAGACAAACATTACAATGACTAGATAGACTATGCCAACAACTTGAAATAATAAATGGAATTAATCTATAATAGGATATGGTGGTTGTCTCCTGCTTAGATGGCTCAGGAAGGTTAGATACGTTTATAAAGGCATATCCATCATAGAATCTTGTGGGATGCAGTGGCTCAGTGGCTAAGATGCTGAGCTTGTTGATCGAAAGGTCGGCAGGTCAGCGGTTCGAATCCTTAGTGCCGCATAATGGGGTGAGCTCCTGTTACTTGTCCCAGCTTCTGCCAACCTAGCAGTTTGAAAGCATGTAAAAAATGCAAGTAGAAAAATAGGGACCACCTTTGGTGGGAAGATAACAGCGTTCTGTGCGCCTTTGGTGTTTAGTCATGCCGGCCACATGACCACAGAGACGTCTTCGGACAGTGCTGGATCTTTGGCTTTGAAATGGAGATGAGCACCGCCCCCTAGAGTCGAGAACAACTAGCACATATGTGTGAGAGAAATCTTTATCTTTTTTATCATACAATCATATGGTTGGAAGGAAACCTGGAGGTCTTCTAAGCCAAACCCCTGCCCAAATCCCAAATTCTATCATTCCAAACAAATGGCCATTTTTTTCTTGAAAACCTCCAGTGATAAGAATATCTGCAGCTTCAAGAGGCACACTGTTCCACTTTTTAATAACCCTCAGTCAGGAATTCTGGACCTCTCATTATAAAACTTCCACCTATTGTTTTTTGTCTTATCTTTGAATGCTATAGAACAGCGTTTCTCAACTGTGGCTAGTTTAAGATGTGTGGACTTCAATTTCCAGAATTCCCCAAGCTATAGAAACACTGTAGAAAATAAACCCAAATCCTCTGCCCCATGACATCCCTTCATGTATTGAAAGACTGCTACCATGTCTCCTCTCAACCTTATCTTCTTTAGAATAAACATCTTGAGATTCTTTAACAATAGGATTAGGCCTCCAAGCCTTCTACCATTTTGTCACTCTTCTCTGCTCTGTTTCAACTGCTTAGGAATTCCCCCCCCCCCCGTCAAATAGTTATTATAAAGATTACTAGTGATTGGACTATATGGACTTTTGATCTGGGCAGAGTTCATCTGGTGATCTTACATTCAATTCTTCTAATACACTTTGAATCAGATTTTTTAATGGGAAGGCTAATACAGTAATATCCAGAAATAAAGAAATATGGACCAAGACCATTTTCAGGAAATTTGGAGACTTCTATGATCACTTTTATTTATTTTATTTTTATTTGATTTATATGCCGCCCTTCTCCGGAGACTCAGGGCGGCTTGCAATGCGTTAAGCAATAGCCTTCATACTTTTGTATATTTATACAAAGTCAGCTTATTGCCCCCACAAACTGGGTCCTCAGTTAACCTACCTTAGAAAGGATGGAAGGCTGAGTCAACCTTGAGCCTGGTAAGATTCGAACCTGCAGAAATTGCAGGCAGCTGTGTTCATTACAGGGTGCATTAAACCACTGTACTACCAAGGCTCCTACCGTATGATAGTCTTTTAGGATCACCAGCTAATTCATCTCAACTCATTAGGAAAGTATCAAATTGGAGAAGGCAGGGTTAGAATACTGCATGTGGGGTTTTTTTTTTTCAAAACTGCAAAACTGGCGTTAGAGAACTCTCAATTATGCAGCATTGCTGATGATAAAAATGCTATCAGATCTATTTTTGCTGTGTCAGAAGTAAAGGTTTCTTAATTCAGGTTTAAAGACTTCACTTATGCCACAGAATTCTCCCCAAATCAATAAATATTTATAAACAGAATGCCATAGATAAGAATGAGGATGTTCTTTCAATACAGTTATGTAGGATAGATAGAAGACACTAAATATTCAGCATAATTGCAAAGATCTACTGCAGGACAGGGTGACCCAGATTCAAGGCTACATTCCACTGACGTGAACGGGATAACTGGACTATCTCTTGGCTCAAACTCATGAAGTTGTTGTCGATATGGGATTAAAAATTGAAGGAGAAAGTTATTGGAAAAAGATGAATCTAAATAGGAATTAAATCTAATAAACAAATAAAATGCATCACGGAAGATTACTTTTCAGGATTACAGACACTCTATTCATTCAAATATTTTTATTCCCCGCTCTTTGTTGCCAATCAATTGGTTAATTGGGGGGAGGGGGAGATTATTTCCAATCCTATAGATATTTCCGTCCTATAGATTTATACCTATGAAAATTATATTGATATTTCTCTCTCCTTATGCTTAGATTGTGCAATGTTGGCAAGCAATGGCCTGAGAATATTGTTTAAAATTAAGCTAATATTCATGTTATTTGTATCCACATGGTTCTTGAGTAATTTGAATCAGTCTAACTGTGGAAGAACAGTAAAAAAAAACCTATCACAAAACATATCCATGATCATTGAACATGCGAATCAAGGTCAGTTTCTGTATGTTAGTGCACAGAGGCTATGCACATGTGCAAGGATGCAAAATGTGTGAGTCCAAATCAAAGCATGCAGATAGGGGTGAGCCATGGAATTTGATCCTGAATATATCCTTTCAAACGTTCATGATACAAGCCATTTGAAACCAATGTGCAACTGGAAAATTTGAATTAGCTATTTTTTTCTTCTTGCCAACATCATAGTAAATAAAACATAATTGCGCATGTATCAAATCTATTGATGTAATAGCATTAGCAATAGCATTTAGACTTATATACCGCTTCACAGTGCTTTACAGCCCTCTCTAAGCAGTTTAGAGTCAGTGTATTGCCTCAAACAATCAAACGACTTTGGAAGGGTGAGATTTGAACTGCCAAATTGCAGGCAGCTGGCAGGCAGAAGTAGCCTGCTGTACTGCATTCTAACCACTGCACCATCACGGCTCCCTATTATGGAAGGCATGTTCTGGCTGGAAATAGTAAGCATCAATGTTAGAAATGAAAAGATAAAAGTTTCCCTTTCACTGGTATCTAACTATATACGGTGCGGTGCTCATCTCCATTTCTTAACCAAGGAAGTCAGCATTGTCCATGGTCATATGGACAGCATGATGCGTAGAACGGTTACCTTCCCACCAAAATGATACCTATTAATCTACTTGCTTTGCATGCTTTCAAAGTGCTAGGTGGGCAGGAGCTGAGGCAGGAACAGGAGCTCACTTCGTTGTGCAGCACTAAGGTTTCAAACCTGGGTTGTCTGTTTTCTACCTGACAAGCTCAGTGTCCTTAACCACTGAGCCATCATTGCCCCTTAATTAGGGATTCTCTTCAGAGAAATGCTTTCCTCTGTGTCCTTTTTACAGCAATTCTTTTCGATAGTTCTTGTTGGTCATAATTACACATTTAATATATTGGCTCTATTGTTAATATTCTATTTCTACACTTTACTGGTAGATATGTCGGATTAAATAATGCTCATACTAATATATATCATACAGATATATCATACTAATATATATCATACAGATTTTCAATAATCCCATGATTCACTGAATGACTTAAAGCATGGGCAAACTATGCTTTAAGTCAAACTTAGTTGTGAAGGTATTGCTGAAATGTTTTGCCAAGCTGGCTAGGATTATTGGTTCAGCAAAAGTTGGAAGGCTATCGATTACTACCCTGGTTTAAAACAATACATTGTTGCCTATATTTGTATACATACAGCGTGGCTTACAACAGAGTTATATATATATATATATATATAATCTCACTGCAGATCTATACCTGGTGAAACAAAATATTTTCTCATGCAGTCACGCGACTTGCAGAGAACATAGAGTACACTGTGATAACTGAATTCTGTGACGAGAAACATTTAGATATGGGTCCAAGAGTAATGTAGTTTAATATTTTAAAAATGGTTACCTGTAAAAAAAAAACTTGAACAAAATCAAACAGAACTGCTACCATCAACTTTAATAATCAGCAGAAGCCTACATTCGTCATTAAATACAAACATAAAATAGTATAAGGGCCTCCTGCCTTCTGTATCTATCAAGTCAGAATTGCTGAAAGCCAGCATTGATGTTCCAGGAATGCAGCAAATATAGGCCAGGATTGAAAAACCTGTAAGGAGGCAGACTAGAGGCATTCTGCTGACATACTGCACTCTTTGCTGTCCGTCCGCATACTGTTTATTTAAAAAAGTAATGAGAAAGGCTGTTGGTATAAGATGTGAGTTGCTGCAAAATTTTCCAAGGCTATCTCATAAACAGATAAGGAGCTCACTGGGAACAAGCAAGGTTAACTCAAGATTTGTTATCAAATAGATTAAACTTGCAGTTGAAAACATAGTAATGGAGTAACAGGAGGGCAGAAAGCAAGTTTGCAAGAAAATGCAGGCTGCAAGGAACACCTAGCATTGTGTTCTGTTTCCAATCCCCAGCATCTAAAATGACAAAAAGAGAGAATGTGGATTACCAAAATTAGGCAAAAAGATAACCATTGAACAGAAAATTTGCCAGGCATATGAATACATATAAAAACAAATATGTATAAAACCACTGTACCAGAAACAGCACTCAGCTGTAGTGTCTGCATTACTGCTGATCTGAGGGTAATTACTAAATAGACTGAGTAGGGCTTCTTTTACTCTTTTAATGATTCCTTTATCTTTAAATTGGACTGGACAGTCTATCATATAAAGATGGTCTTTTGTAACATAGCAATCCAATGAGACCATGACACCATGCCTCTTGAAGCAAAAGACAAAAAAATAGTTTTGCAACACCTTAAAGCTAATAATGTCCATTTTTATTGTATAGACTTTTCAGGACTATAAAAATTATTTGTCTGTTTATGGAATTTATAAACCGCTTATTTCACGGCGTGCAGCAACTGAGAACTTACCCTGCTCTTACAACAAAACATATGGAAATAAAAACAATTATAAAATATAAAAACAGATTAAAATTACAAATTAAAACAGGTTAATAAAAACCATGGGTTTCAAGCAGAGAGATGGTGGTGGCAACTTCTTTGTAACTATACTAGCTATTTCCAGCCAATAACTTCTCCCTCAAGGCCCCATGCTAACTGGCATAGCTAGGTTTCAAGGCATCTCCTGAAGGCCAGAATAGTGGGGGACAGATCACACTTAATGCAGCAAAATATGGCAAAGGACTCTGTGTGTGCGTGTGCGTGTGGAAGAGAGAGGGAGGGAGGGAAGGAGGAAAAGAGAGAGGGGGGGGAAGAGAAGGCTCTTCTGGATCCTGCCAACTAAAATTCCTTGGGATCTGCAGTAGCCTTTTTTTGCCAATATGAATATATTTCACTTGATGAATTTATTATAATCTATCCTCAGCCCCCTACTTGCTGTCTGCCATCCAGAGAGGAAGAATGGCATTCTTGAGCAATACTTTCAATGCTATGCACATCAACAACTGCATCCATCTTGTCTAGCATTCTGTTTGAGAATTACTTGTTTTGTTGTTGGGCTATCAAGTCCTGGTGATTGCAGTAACAACGCCGTGCAAGGTTCTTGCCATTTGATATGTCCTCCTAGGGAAGAGCTGTACAGATTCTAGGCTGGCATGTCATATGGCTTTGGACTGATGTATTAAGTGTAGCTAATATGGTGATCTCCACTCATATATTTAATGGTTTTTCCACTGTGATAAAAATTACAACTTGTAATAACAACTTTTGGAAGTTTGGGGATTGTATTCAAGTTTTATGGGAAACAGATATGCCCCAGGTGCTTTGGGTTGTAGATCTCTGTTCTAGACAGTTTCTACAGCAGACTTTTGTCCCATGGAAAAAATTCTACTTTATATTTATATTTACTTTATGCTCTTCTACAACAGAGTGCAAGCCACTCAAAAGATTTTAAATCAAGAGCAGTACCAACATGCTTTTAAATAAAGGTGGTTTTTTAATTGCAGTAAAAAAAAATGCTGCCAGATGGCATTATACAATGAACAAATGGCTGCACACACCATATAACAATGAGAGGAAGAGAGGGAGAGGGAGAGGGAGAGGGAGGGGGAGAGAGAGAGAGAGAGTAGCTGTATCATAATAAATTTTGTTTATCTGAGTGCAGCTTTCTCATTATCTTAACATTATCTATATTTTTCCCATATTATATTTGGACCAATAATACCTCTTCAAGAAGAAGGAGTATCAGCCAGCTCTGAGGAGCCCAGATGTCTGAAGAAGTACAAAAATAAACTTCTAGAGAAAAAAAGCAACTCATGTCTGTGAATACATTATGCTGTTCTGTATTTTGGTTATACAGTATAAAATGTTGTGCCTGTTCTGCAAAAGATTTTTAAAATGCAGCCTTCTTCTTGACCAAGTAATGGGCCTGTCTACATTAGTGCAGGCAGAGCCTTTAGAACTATACATCCACATTGGAAATCTATATTGTTGCAGTTGATTGTAAATTAGATTGCATTGCTAACTTGAATTAGGAAGAGCACTGGATAGCAAAACCTGACCCAATTCAAACAGAGTAAATCACAATTTGGTTTATTTGGTTTTCATTTAATAAACTGTATTTTTTATTGAAGTTGTGTGTGTGTGTGTGTGTGTGTGTGTGTGTGTGGTTTTATTTTGATGTTGTAAATTGCCCAGTCTCCTTACAGTGAGATGGGTGGCAAACAAATTTAATGAATGAATGAATGAATAAATAAATAAATAAATAAATGTTGGTGTGTTCTATGAACCCAGTCAACTGTGATTTTTTTAAATAAATCATGATTAAATAAATCACTGCTGGGTTTATACTTAATCAGGATCTGTTGAATAAAACGTAATTCATTTGGTTTGTACAATGTGCCGAGTTAAAAAAAAACAAGCAAACCTTGATGTGGCTTGCCAGTTACCATACCTACTTGTTTTCCGTCTAATATCAATCCTTACAATTGCCTAAAAAAAGCAGATGTGCGCAAACAGTAGCAGCTGTAATGGCCAAAGGCATATAGAGGAGTAACCTAAGCAATAAGTCACCTAATGAATAATGCGGCATCCAACACCACCAGGTTAGTCATAATATCTCCAAAAAGTAGATTGGAAATAGTAACAGACATTTCAGACTGCAGTCTTGTTATGCAGGGGTGTCAAACTGGCGGCCTGCAGGCCAGCTCACCCAAGCTCCGCGAAGGGAAAGAAGTCACAAAATGGAGCAAATTTGACACCTGTGTTATAGAGAATAAACAGCATTCCACTCAGAACCTCACTTCGGATATGTGTTTATGAGTGTGTGTGTGTGTGTGTTTATGTAGGATTGTACTACTAGTGAATTTCAGTGCTAAGTCAAAATACTAGTCTCCTGAAGTTCAAAGTTCAGACCTTTATGATCCACTGGCACTTGATTTTGAAATTACTATGGTATTAATCCCATGAATGTACATTGTCATATTCTATGAAGGTCATGTCTTACATGATTAAAACATCACCATCCACATATGTAATGCTCTCTACATGGGGCTCCCCTTGAGGAGCACCCGGAGGCTCCAGCTGATCCAGAATGCGGCCGCGCAGGTGGTTATGGGGGCGACTCGGCGCTCCCATGTAACACCTCTCCTGCACGAGCTGCACTGGCTCCCGGTGGTCTTCCAGGTACGCTTCAAGGTATTGGTCTAAAGGTTACCACCTTTAGAGCGCTCCATGGCTTAGAGACCGCCTTCTGCCACCGATAGCCTCTCACCGACCAGTACGCTCCCACAGAGAGGGGCTCCTCAGGGTGCTGTCAGTCAAACAATGTCAACTGGCGACACCCAGAGGGAGAGCCTTCTCTGTGGGGGCACCTACCCTCTGGAATGAGCTGCCCCCAGAGATACGGCAGATCCCAGATCTTCGCACCTTTCACCGTTCCCTAAAGACGTTTTTATTCCAGCAAGCCGGGCTGGCCTAACTCTTTTAAATTGTTTTAATTTTTAAATTGTTTAATTATGGGTCTTAATACAGGGGTGTTTTTAATTGTGGGCCAAATTAATTTAATTGGATTTTAATACTGTTTTTAAATTTTGTATTTCTTGTGTTTTATCTGTTGGCTGTTCACCGCCCCGAGTCCTTCGGGAGAAGGGCGGTATATAAATATAAACAATAAATAAAATAAAATAAATACATGCAGAAGAAGCATCACTAAGTTTGATTTGTATTTCAGGGGGAGGAAATACAATTTAAAAAAACCCAGAATAATTGAAGGGTTATGTGACCAAGTTAGTTGGCAGTTAATTGGCCACTGGGATGCAGGGATTTAAATAATAATAATAATAAAAGGATGGAGAAGAGAGTAAAACAGAAAACATGGCTTATTAGCTGAATTACTCAACAAGAGCACGACATGCTACAGCAGTATGTTGCACTTCCTACTGGAGATATTTGCTCTTGACTATAATTTGCCCTGACAGGCTTGTTTGGCTATTATGCCATCCAGGATGTTATTAGCTTCCCTGCCCTGGATTTTTTATTTTTAATTAGATTTGTGAGCCATCACAGGAGGATATTTGTTTTGCTGTCTTTGTCACGAGAAAGGTCTCAATAGTCTTCAGTTGATGGCCTGATGAGATCGACTAGAGAGAGGGAATGATAAAGAAAGAACTGACAAGAAAATATATTCTGGCCAGAACCATCACACTCTACCACTCACAGTCTGGTTTTCCCACTGGAGAAAGTATGATTGGAGAATTGTTTCACCTAAAGTCCCTGTGTTATTTAAAACCCTGTGTGATTGAAGTTCTAATTTGGCAGGGTACCTACAAATAAAACAGGATCTCTTCTTCTGGAGACATTCTTCCACAGTGGGAGGACAAGAATGGCATGACCAGTCAGGCTGTAAGGAAGGAGGCAGGGCTACTGAATGCACAGAGCTCCGTTTTCCTTTATGTAGTATAATGCAAACATAGTCATAATCATTTGATGGAAACACATCTGAAATGAACTTCCTAGATGTTGATTAACTATCCTGTCCTTACGGACAAAGACATGGTCAGATGGCATTATGCATGTGAGAAAGCCTCACACAACACCATGAATGCCATTGCTCCTTCCTATTTATGCTCTGTCAAGTAAGCAACATTAGAAATGCAGAGGAACAGCAGATATTTGCTGCTCCAATTAACTTTTTCCCCATTATGTTGGCATAATGGACGGGAGGAAAAGGATATCCAGGTCGGGAGCTGGGACACCTCTATTTGAATATACAATAAATATATTAATAATAGTGATAACAGCAATATAGCAAGCTCTACCGCAATATCATAGCACCAGTAACGAGCTAGCAATCTTTAAAAATGTTAACAAATAGTAAAAATATTGTTAGCAATACTGTGGTACCATTTGAAATGTTGTATTTCTTGGCTGAAAATAATCTCAAGCCTTTTCCTGAAATTGATTTACCTGTCTCTACAAACACCCACCCCCACACATGTATAAGCAGACAGA